TCTGGCGTCCCAAGCCAGCTCTTAACCAATGCGCCACTCGGCCAGCCCTTGAGCGAGCTCTTAACCAACTGAGTCACTCGGCCGGCCCCCAACAAACCATTTCTTGATCCGATTGTGACGTGCCACAAAAAGTGGATTACATACAACTGATGATGACCAGCTCAGTGGTTGGACCTAGAAAAAGCTCCAAAGCACTTCCCAAATCCAAACTTGCACCAAAAAAAGGTCATGGTCATTGTTTGGTGGTCTGCTGCCAGTCTGATCCACAGCGTTCTGAATCCCAGAGAAACCATTACATCTGAGAAGCATGCTCAGCAAATCGATGAGATGCACCAAAAACTGCAATGCCTGCAGCCGGCATTGGTCAACACAAAGGGCCCAATTCTTCTTCACGACGATGCCCATCTGCACATCACACAACCAATGCTTTAAAAGTTGAACGAATTGGGCTACTAAGTTTTGCCTCATCCACCAGATTCACCTGACCTCTTGCCAACCGACTACCACTTCTTCAAGCATCTTGACAACTTTTTGCAGGAAAAACACTTCCATAACCAGCAGGATGCAGAAAATGCTTTCCAAGAGTTCATTGAATCCCGAAACAGAGATTTTTATGCTACAGGAATAAGCACATGTATTTCTCATTGGCAAAAATGTGTTAATTGCCTTGGTTCCTATTTTGATTAATAAAGATATGTTTGAGCTAGTTAATGATTTAAAATTCACGATCTGAAACCGCAGTTACTTTGGCACCAGCCTAATATCTTGTAGGGGAAATAGTTTGGAGCTCTGTAAAGATCCTGTTTATTCCTCAAACTTTTACCCACTAGTTAGCATCTATTGATAATTCTTCCCTGCATATGATGGTTGCTAAATGATGATTTTCTAATTCCAGCATCCTTTTTATATCAGTTGGCCTTTTACCATGAAGATGAGCTTTCCTTTCTCCCCTCATTTATTTGTATCTTTGAAGACTCCTGGATTCTGATTTTATTCTATGATTATATTTTCTT